GGGGGTACCCGTGGGAGGGGGGTACCCAAGGGATGGGGGTACCCGTGGTTGAGGGCTTGGACTCCTGGGGTGAGGGTACCCAAAGGTGGGGGCACCCATGGGGGGGCACTCAGGGGTCGGGGGGTTCCCAGATGGGGGCTGGGACTGCCGGGGGGTGGGGGGCACCCGTGGGGGGGGCACAGCAGGGGGGGGCGCTGGGGGCACCTGGGCAGGGGGTGACGAGGGGGGGGTTGGGGGGTGCGAGGGGGATGCCGGGGGGGGTCGGGGCGGGGTCGTGGCGGTGCGGGGGGTGTCGGTGGGGACAGTGACATTGGGGGGGTGTCGGGGGGCACAGTGACACTGGGGGGGTGTCAGGGAGTGTCAGGGGGTGTCGGGGGACACAGTGACACTGGGTGGGTGTTGGGTGGTTTCGGGGGGCACAGTGACAATGGGGGGTGTTGGGGGGTGTCGGGGGGCACAGTGACACTGGGGGGGTGTCAGGGGGTGTCGGGTGGGGACAGCTACATTGGGGGGGTGTCGGGGCACAGTGACATTGGGGGGGTGTCAGGGGCCGGTGTCGGGTGCACCTTGCCATTGGGGGGGTGTTCAGGGGGTGTCGGGGGGACACCTTTGACCCTGGGGGGGGGTGTCAGGGTTGTGTTGGGGGGACACCGTGACCCTTCGGGGGGGTGTCGGGGTGTGTAAGGGGGTCTGTCGGAGGGGCACCGACATTGGGGGGGTGTCAGGGCGGTGTCGGGGGGCACAGTGGGGACACTGGGGGGGGGGGTGTCGGGGGGTGTCGGGGCACATTGACATTGGGGGGGTGTCGGGGGGTGTCAGGGGGTGTCGGGGTGCACAGTGACAAGGGGGGCGGTGCCGGTGGCGGTTCCACGTGCCGGCGGTGCCTCTGGCTGTGCCTCTGGCGGTGCCGCGGCGGTGCCAGCGGCCCTGTCGCGACAGGCTCCTGCCCAGGAACGGCTGCTCGTGCGAGGCGGAGGCGGAGGCGGGGCTGGCGCTGCCCCTGCGCCGGCGGCTCTTCGGGCCCGGCCCGGGGGGGCTCGACTTCGCCAGCGCCTTCGCCCCCGGGGAGCGGCCGCGGCAGCTGCGGCTGCGGGAACGGGAGTACCGGAGCTACCGCAACCGGTGGGCGCGGGGGGACCCCGGGGGGGGGGCAGCGGGGGCGGGGGGAGCGCAGCTACGGGCTCCGGTGAGGGTGGGGGGCACCCCGGGGCAGGAGGGGACCGCGGGGTGGCAGGGGACCCTCGGGGGTCGTCGGGGGGTGGGAGGGGCCACAGCTCGGGAGGGGGGATACCCCGGAATGCCGCGGGGCGGGGAGGAGGGAGCCCCAGGGCGGGGGAGACCCCCCGGGACCCCCGGGAAAGGATGGGACCCCCCGGGGCAGGATGGGACCCCCCGGGGCTCAGCACTGGTTGAGGTGGGATCCCCGGGGCAGGATGGGACCCCCGGGGCTGGGTGCGGGGTGGGGTGGGACCCCCGGGGCTCAGCACTGGTTGAGGTGGGACTCCCCTGCGCAGGATGGGACCCCCGGGGCAGGATGGGACCCCCGGGGCTGGGTGCGGGGTGGGGTGGGACCCCCGGGGCAGGATGGGACCCCCGGGGCAGGATGGGACCCCCGGGGCTGGGTGCAGGGTGGGGTGAGACCCCCGGGGCAGGATGGGACCCCCGGGGCTGGGTGCAGGGTGGGGTGAGACCCCCGGGGCAGGATGGGACCCCCGGGGCTGGGTGCAGGGTGGGTGCCCCACCGCAGGGTGCGATGGGGGCAGGGCGGGACCCCCCCGCTGACCCCCCCGTGCCCCCCCGCAGGGTGCAGACCCCCGCCGACCGCCTGCTCATCGTCCCGGCCAACTCCCCCCTGGAGTACCCGGCCCAGGGGGTGGAGGTGCGGCCGCTGCAGACGGTGCTGGTGCCCGGTGAGGGGGCGCGGGGGGACGGGGGGGCACCGGGAAACACGGGGGAGGCACAGGAGCGCGTGTGGGGGCACGGGGAGAGCACATGTGGGGCAGAAATGGGGGTGGAGGGCACGGGGGGCACAGAAGAACACGGGGGGGCACAGAGGAACACGGGGGGCACAGAAGAACACGGGGGGGCACACAGGGGAACACGGGGGGGCACGGGGGAACACGGGGGGTCACAGGGGAACACGGGGGGTCACAGGGGAACACGGGGGGGGCACACAGAGTGGGGGAGACATGGGGGGCGGGGGGATGCGGGGGACGATGGGGGGGTACAGGGATGGGTGGTCGTCTGATGGGGGGTACATGGATGAGGGGGACGATGGGGGGGCACAGGGATGGGGGGGTCGATGAGGGGGGCACAGGGATGGGGGGGTCGATGAGGGGGGTACAGGGATGGGGGGGTCGATGAGGGGATGTCCTCGGGGGGAAGGTGGGGCAGGGGGTCCCTCTGGGGGGGGTCTCTGTGCCCCCCGGCCCCTCCTCATCCCCATGTGCCCCCCAGGGCTGAGCCTGCAGGCACCGCCCAGGAACAGGTACCAGGTGAGGGCGGGGCCACGCGGGGGGGCGGGGCCAGGGCAGGGCGTGGTCAAATATGGGCGTGTCCAGGGTGGGGAGTGGGCGGGGGGCAGGTGAGGTGTGTCCAGGTGTGTCCAGGTGTGTCCGAGTGTGGGTGGGACACGGGGAGGGCGTGGTCGAGGATGGGAGGAGGGGGTGTGGGTGTGGTCTGTGGTGGGCGGGGCGTGGGCGGGGCGTGTCCCTCTCCTCCCCCCGGTGTTAGGGGGTCCCTGCTTTGTCCCCCCCCGGGGCCCCCCCCGGTGCCCCCCGTGACGTGCCGTCCCCAGGTGAACCTGACGGCCTCGCTGGGCACCCTGGCGGTGGCAGCCGAGGTGGAGGGCGTGGCGCTGCGGGGGGAGGGGCAGCCGCACCTGTCCTTGGCCGCCGCCCACCTGGACCACCTGAACCGGCAGCTGCAGTTCGTGACCTACACCAACACCCAGTTCCACCCCGACACCGCCGACATCGGTGGGTACGGGGCGGGGGGGGGCGGGGGGGCACCCCCGGGGGGACACGGCCCCCCTGGGACCCCCAGCACCCCCAAACCCCCAGTGCTCCCCCTCCCTTCACCCCTCCAGCAGTCCTGGGACCCCCAGCACCCCCAGGGCCCTCCCATTGACCCCCCCCGGACCCCCGGGACTGCCAGAGCCCCCTCGTTGACCCCCCAGCAGCCCTGGGACCCCCCCAGCACCCCAGCACTGCCCTCCCATTGACCCCCCAGCAGCCCTGGGACCCCCAGTGCCCCTTTCTTGACCCCAAAGCAGCCCCGGGACCACCCGTGCTCCCCCTCCATTGACCCCCCCAGCAGCCCCGGGACCCCCAGTGCCCATTTGTTGACCCCCCCAGCAGCCCTGAGACCCCGATGCTCCCCTTCCATTGACCCCCTCAGCAGTCCTGGGCCCCCCCAGCACCCCCAAACCCCCAGTGCCTCCCATTGAACCCGCTGACCCCCAACACCCCCAAACCCCTGGTGCCCCCACATCGATCCCCCAGAACCCCCGACAGCCCCGGGACCCCCCGCACCCTCAGAACCCCTGATAGCCTGGGACCCCCAGCACCCCCAGAACCCCTGATAGCCCCGGGACCCCCCAGAACCCTCAGAACTCCTGATAGCCCGAGACCCCCCGCACCCTCAGAACCCCTGATAGCCCGGGACCCCCAGCACCCCCAGAACCCCTGATAGCCTGGGACCCCCCGCACCCTCAGAACCCCTGATAGCCCCGGGACCCCCCAGAACCCCTGATAGCCCCGGGACCCCCCGCACCCTCAGAACCCCTGATAGCCCCGGGACCCCCCGCACCCTCAGAACCCCTGATAGCCCCGGGACCCCCCGCACCCTCAGAACCCCTGATAGCCCCGGGACCCCCCGCACCCTCAGAACCCCCAGCACGCCCCAGTCCCGCGGCATCCCTGGTATCCCCGGTGCCCCCAGCCCTGCCAGCACCCTCAGGAATTCCAGTGTCTCCCGGTGCCCCCCCGTGCCCCCCCGTGCCCCCAGCACCCCCAGACACTCCGGTGCCCCCAGCCCCTCCCTCGCCCCCCTCCCCGCGTTGCCCCCCCCCCCCGCAGCCCCCGCGGTGCCCCCCGGTGCCCCCCCAGCCCCCCCTTGCCCTGCAGTGCAGTTCTCCACCGACGGTCACTCCGCCGCCTTCTCCATCCGCATCCGGCACCCGCCCACCCCCCGCCTGTACGGCCCGGCCGGGACCCCCGGGGACGGCGACGGGGACGGGGACGGGGACAGTGAGAGCGCCGGGGACAGCGCCGGGGACGGGGGTGAGCACGGGGGGGGACCCCGCACCGGCCCTGCCTGTGTAACCCCAAACTGGCCCTGCCCGTGTCCCCCCAAACCGGCCCCGCCTGACCACCCCAAACCCACCCTGCCCGAGTCCCCCCAAACTGGCCCTGCCCGTGTCCCCCCAAACCGGCCCTGCCCGTGTCCCCCCAAACCGGCCCCGCCTGACCACCCCAAACCCCCCCTGCCCGTGTCCCCCCAAACCAACCCTGCCCGAGTCCCCCCAAACCGACCCTGCCCGTGTCCCCCCAAACCAGCCCTGCCCGTGTCCTCACGCTACCACTGCTCCCAGTGCTCTCAGCATTCCCAGTGCAGGTTCCCAGTGCTCCCAGTGTGGGTTCCCAGCACTCCCAGAGCTCCCAGTGCAGGTTCCCAGTGCTCCCAGTGTGAGTTTCCAGCACTCCCAGCGCTCCCAATGTGGGTTCCCAGCGCTCCCAGTGCGGGTTCCCAGTGCTCCCAGTGTGAGTTTCCAGCACTCCCAGCGCTCCCAGTGCGGGTTCCCAGCGCTCCCAGTGCGGGTTCCCAGCGCTCCCAGCGCTCCCAGTGCGGGTTCCCAGCGCTCCCAGTGCGGGTTCCCAGCACTCCCAGCGCTCCCAGTGCGGGTTCCCAGCGCTCCCAGTGCGGGTTCCCAGCGCCCCCCCCGCCCCGCCAGGGTACAACATCTCGGCGCTGGTGACCGTGGCCACCAAGACGTTCCTGCGCTACGACAAACTGCGCGGGCTGATCGCCAGCATCCGCCGCTTCTACCCCTCCGTCACCATCGTGGTGGCCGACGACAGCCAGCGCCCCGAGCCCCTGTCCGGGCCACACCTCGAGCACTACCTCATGCCCTTCGGCAAGGTGGGCGCCGGGGGGGCTCCGGGGGCGGGGGGGGCGAGGGGCGGGGGTGGAAGGGGGTAGGGGGGCACAGACCCCTCACCGGGTTCCTCCGGAGTGTTCCCTCATGGCTTCGGCAAGGTGGGCACCGGGGGGGCACCGAGGGGGCACCGGGGGTCGGGGGGGACACGGTGGGCTGAGGGGAGGCGAGGGGCAGGGGTGGAAGGGGGTAGGGGGGCACAGACCCCTCACCGGGTTCCTCTGGAGCGTTCCCTCATGCCCTTGGGCAAGGTGGGGGCCGGGGGGGCACGGGGGGCTGAGGGTGGGCACAGGGGGATGGAGGAGGGGGGAGGGGGGCACAGAACCCCCCACCGAGTCCCACCCGGACCCCTTTGGCAAGGTGGGGGCCGGGGGGGCACTGGGGAGGGGGACACGGGATGGGGGCAGCGCTTTGAGGGGGGGCAGGGGGGGTCTGGCAGGGCTTGAAGTCCCCAGAGGTGGGGGGACAGGGGAAAGGGGGGACTGGCAGGGCGGGGGTCCCCATGGAGGGGGGGCACGGGGGCTGGCAGAGCCTGTGGGACCCCAGGGAGGGGGACACTGGGGAAGGGGACACGGGAGGGCTGACAGTAGTTGAGGTCCCCAAAAAGGGAGGACGTGGAGGTCTGGCAGGATGGTGGGACCCCGGGGGGGGACACTGGGGCTGGGACAAGGCTGGGGGTCCCTCGGGGACGAGAGGGCGGCTGGCAGGGCTTGGGGTCCCCCGAGATGGGGGGGGCAGGGCGGGTCTGGCAGGGCCACGTGGCTCAGGGGGGCCGTGGGGCCCCCCCGGGGGGTGTCGGGGGGTGTCTGAGGGTCCGCCCCGGCCCCCCCAGGGCTGGTTCGCCGGGAGGAACCTGGCGGTGTCGCAGGTCACCACCAAGTACGTGCTGTGGGTGGACGACGATTTCATCTTCACCCCCCGCACGCGGCTCGAGAAGCTCGTGGACGTGCTGGAGAGAACCAGCCTGGACCTGGTGCGGGCACGGGAGGCACCGGGGGGGCAGGCGGGGCCGGTGTGACCCCCGAGGTCTGGGGAGGGTGGTCCCGGTTGCCGTGTGCGGTGCCCGGTGCTGGAGAGAACCAGCCTGGAGGTGGTGCGGGCACCGGGGGGGGCACCGGGGGGGCAGGGGGAGGCACGGGGGGGACTGAGGGACAGGAGGGGCAGTGCCGGCTGCCACAGGCGGGCTCTTCTGGGGGTCCCGGAGGTGCCGGTGCCGCGGGTGGGGGACGTTGGGGGTCCCGGGGTTTCCCGGTGTCCCGGTGCCGGCACCGCCCCCAGAGCAGCCCCGTCCCGCGGGGGGGTGACACCGGGGGTCCCGGGGGTCCCACGGGAGGATGATGGGGGGGAGCGCCGCGGGGATCCCGATGTTCCGGAGCTGGCGCAGCCCCGGCGCGTTTCCCGTTCCCGTCCCGCGGGGGGGTCCCTGTGCTCCCGGGGGTCCCTGTGCTCCCGGGGGTCCCTGTGCTCTCGGGGGTCCCTGTGCTCCCGGGGGTCCCTGTGCTCCCGGGGATCCCTGTGC